AACAGAAGAGAGTTTGAACATAAGACTGAACTGGTGAAGTTTTTAGAACTCATGAAAATAGAACTCTTAGGGGTTCATGAGAATTTACTTTTGAGTAAAACATTACTGATTTTTTTTGTATGCTTTGTTTTCCCAATTTAAACAGTTTACTTTCTTTTGAGTTGTAGATAGGTTTAGCATTATGTTAAAATATTTTTTCTTGTTTGTTTCTTTAAATGGAAATATAAACTTTTCTTCCTTCCTGATACCTCTGGAATTGAAAAATATTTGGGAATATTCTTATTTTGTGGGAGAAGGGTTATTTGCATAAGTTCAATAATGCTTGTTGTATTGATTCAGAAATCGGAAATACTCATTATTGGACAGGGCTTTGAGTGGAATGTCATGTCTGAAGATTAATCAGAAAACTATGGAACTAAGGTGGATCTCAAGTAAGCTAATAGGAACTCTTAGAAACATGGCCTGGTACCATAAATAGTTCTGCCTGGCAGAGAGGATTAGAGAAGATATAAGAAAGAAGTTATAACATAAAATAACCTGGACTTCTCCAGCCCAGCATTGTAATCAGTAGAGGTTGCAAGAGACCAACCACACCAGAGGATTATCTTGAGAAAGACTTTCAAATAAGAAAAAGAGACCAATCTTTGCTAACAGATGGTATATCACAGAATACTGGGTAGGCAGGGCTGAATTGAGAAGGTTTATGTGTGACTAGTGTGCTGGGCATTTGCTTTTCAACAATTTAAGTAGTTGACATGTAAATATTTTCTCAAAAATATTTAAAACCATACTGTTTCTGTTGTTAGAGTGTCACAAACAAAATTACACAAAATTATAAGAAATATTTTGAAATTTTGAAAGTTGTTTATTAACTGTCAAGAACTATGAAGTATGAATTAAAATTTTTTGATATGTAAAGTAAATGTTTGTGAAAAAAACTAAAAATAAATTTTTAAAAAATCACCCAGCTTCCATTTTGTAATAATCTTTAGGTCAGCAAAGATAGAAGAAGGAAAGTTACTGCAATGACCCAGCCCCACAGTCTTTGGTATCTACACTTATCCTCTCTGTTACTCTATCTTCAGATCTTTCTATTTCTGTCACAGAGTGCAGACATTTGGTACATATAGAGTAGGAATATACAGAGTGTATCTTTCAAAATCTGGCTCACTTCACTCAATATTAAGTCTTCTATATTCATTCCCTTTGAATCAAATGACAGGGTGTCACTGTTTCTTAAGACTCAGTAATATTCCATAGTGTATATATGTCCACGGCTTTCAATCCAGTCATCAGTTTTTGAACACTTAAGTTGATTCTATGTCTTAGCAACAGTGAATAATGCTGTAATAATCATGAATATGCAAGTGTCTTTCAAATTCGGTGTTTTCCTATCCTTCAGGTAAACACCAATGAGTGAGATTACAGAGACATGTGTAGCTCTATTTATAGGTTTTTGAGGAGATTCCATATTGTTTTCTAAAGAGGTTGTACTAATTTACATTCCCACCAACAGTGTAAGAGGGTTTCCTTTTCATCACAGCCTCTCTAGCACTTGTCATTCTTTAGTTATTTGATCCTAGCCATTCTAAATGGTGTTAAATGGTATCTCATTATGGCTTTAATTTTGATTTCCCTTATGACAAGAGACATTAAACATTTTTTCATATGCCTTTTGGCAATTCATAAGTCTTCCTTGGAGAGTTGTCCATTTAGTTCATTTTCCTGTTTTTTAATTGGATTATTCATTTCATTTACAGTTGAGCTGCTTGAGTTCTGTATATATTCTGGTTAACAATCCCTTGTCTGAGGAGTAATTTGCAAATATTTTCTCATATTCTGAAGCTTACCTTTTCACTCTAATTGCTGTTTTATTTGCTGTGAAGAAGTTTTAGCTGACGTAATCTCACCTATTTTTTGGGAGTATTGTTGTGCTTTAGGGGTCTTATTTAAGAAACCTTTGCGTATTCCAATGTCAATGGCCAAGCTGTTAAACATGGAATAATGGTTGTCTTTCACTGATGCCTTAATGAAATTAGTTGATTACCCTAAGCTATTATTGAGTCATTGGAAAAGTCATGATGCATTTTTACATAGAAAAACATGTCATGACTTTTCTGTCGATCCAGTATTATAATGGCCTCCACTTCTGCCTCTATCCAAATTCTTTTATTCCTGTTGTAACACCTTTAACGTATCTTCAGCCTTTATATACCCTCAGAATGGCCCTTTCACATCTGCAGTTTTCAACCACAAGTGTACTTTCTGAATTTGGAAGTCATTGCACTTGGAATTTAAAGATAAACAGGTGCAGCTTCTAAGGTATGACTGATGATATATGTCTATGGCATCAGAGTGGGGAGCCTTTCAAAACCAAAGAGTAAATATGGCATTCTCTCTACTCCTGCTGAGAACTTGTCAGACCTCCAGAAAATCACAGAAAACCATCACCCTTTGCCAAAGTTTACAGCAATGCTGATGAAGTAGCAAGCGGGTTATTGTGTTTAAGTAAAACTGAATGTTATTTACCACTGCACTAAGATAAGGTTCAATGGAAAAATTATATCATTTTATTGAATTTAAACACCATGTACGCTGTGAAAAGAAGGCATATTCTGATACTATCTACATCCAAAAGACTCTGGTTCCTTATTTAACAATATACCATTATTAATTTCTTAATAATGTAAAAAATCCTTGTGTTTTATTTGCTTTGAGAACTGATAAATTTTTATTATAGTTGTATAAATTCTAATAAGTACATTGAGTCCAAAACATTATATACTGTATTAAGCCTGTACTTAGGACCAAGTCATTACAGACCAATTGAGCTCTAATTTTAAAGTCTTTTAATGTGGCATGGTGCTTAAGGGCACTGGACTCCCACATAGCTGACCACAGTTCAAGTTCAGGACCTGGTGGCTTGCTTTCTCATTCTCTCTCTCTCTCTCTCTCCCTCTTTCTCTCCCTCTTTGGTCAAATTAAAATAAATAGTTAAATAAAATAATTCTTAAAAAAAAAAAAAAAAGAAAGAAAAGACTGCATCAAGGGGCCCAACAGGTGGCATAGTGGTTAAGGTGTTAGACTGCGACATGGTCAACCACGGTTTGAGTCCTGGACCCAGTGGATTAGAACTCATTCTGGGTATGCGTGCATGAGTGTGTGCTCAGGACCCCAGGATGAAAGTGGAGAAGAAGGGATTGTGACATGGCCATTCCCCTTGGGGGGTTATTTCTCACTTTCTCTCTCTCTGTCTCTGTGTTTCTGGTGAGTGCACATGCCCTATAGCAAAAATTTCTCTCAAAAAAAAAATTAAAAAAAGGTTGCATCATAACAAGATTTAGAAAAGAAATATTCATTCTTATAAATTTCCACAAGAGGGCAATAAACTCTCATTTGATACCATTCTTCAAGGTTCCCATAGTCACAAAATTTTGCCGTAACATTAAACATTCTAGTTCCAAAATACTGCCTATTAGTCTTCTGAATTTGAAAAAAGTGCCCTTTAGGTTCTGAATGGGAAAGACATATGAACCTGATTTTTTTCTCCTTTATGTTTTTCAAATGCATTCAGTAAGTCAGAAAAATGAAAAAAAAGTCAATACGTACTTGCTAATTTATAAAGGATGAGTTGTGGATAAAATCATATATCTCATATTTAAATCACCATAAATTAGATGAAATGCATTACTTAATATTTAGTAATATCACTCTAAAATATGTCAGCAATTTTTGTTCAGAAGGTAAAATCTGTATCAAAAGTATATAGTTAAAAAATAAATTGATACAAGAATATATTTATCCAACATGTTCATAAAACTCTAAGAAAACCCAAGCATAGTTGTACATAATGTTGACGGCATTCTTAAACAAACAGTGGGTTTTCTGTTTCTTTTTTAAATTTAGTTTCATATGAGTTTTTTTCCTTTTCTTTTCTTTTTTTTTTTCTTTTTTTTTTAGTTTGCTATAGGGCACATGTACTTACCAGAGAGAGAGAGAGAGAAAGAGAGAGAATTCATTCCCCCAGTGGGATAGCCATGCCGCAATCTCTTCTCTATTCTCCTGTAAGGATTTTCAGCACACATGCACACATGCCCAGCAAGACTTTCAAGATCCTGGTTGAGGTCTCAAACCACACAGTCCACCATGTGGGATACAACTGCCTCAACCTCCATGTCACCTGCTGGCCTGATCTTTTATTTATTTATTTTTTTCCTAACTTCCAGATGAGCATGTACTTGCCAGAGAGAGAGGGAGAGAGAAAGAAAGCACACCCCAATGGAGTATGGTCACACCATAATCCCTTCTGCTCCATTTCTCCATACTGTTGGGATTTCAGGCACATGCGCACATGCATCCAGCATGTTTATCAAGCTGCCAAGGCCAGGATTGAGCCATGGTAGGTTAAGTGGCTTCTAGCTCCTTTAAATACCAGGTTATAGGCCTAGTTCAAAATGAGAAAGCTTCTAAAGGTAGAAGTAAATTTTACTTAGTTAAAAGAACTAAGGCAGAATTCTGAGTTCTACTCCTGATCCAGTCACTTTACAATTTTCTTAAAGTGACTGTCCATCCTCCTTTAAATGACTATAGTAGGATTAGTAGCAAGCTATCAGAGTTGGGTTCTCTGATCTATAACAGACTTTAGAAGGCAGTAATGCATAGCCTCTGAGTCTTCCAATATTGTGTTTTAAAAAACTGGGAAGCAAATCAGAACAAGTGCTGAGCAAGATGCTCACACTGTAACTGGATTGAGATTTTAAGTGGGAGAGAAGAAGAAGAAGAAGAAAAAAAAAAAACTCATATTTTTTCCATCATTCTTCCCTCCAACATACATTTGCTATCACAACTGTCAACAGGCTCCACTGTACTATTCGTAGCTGACAGCTGGGCTCATCTTGAGATCAGATATAACAATTTTACTTCCATTAAGAACTTAGTTTCCTTTACCTCACAAGAAAGTCAAGGTCACCAGATATTAAGCATTTTGTAAAATTCTCTATTTGAAGAGTTTAAACACATTCATAAATTTATTTACAATGAGTAAAATAATCTTCTAGAACAAAAAAGGTAGTAGAAGTCTTCCATACTCTCAGGCACTATGGCCTCCCTTCTCTGGTTATTTAACTGATCCTAGTACTCTCTCCTTCCTGCCTCTCTAACACCCTCTCAGCACCTGACCACGGGCACCACTAAGGCATACTAACTAGATGTTCTAGCATTTCTCATTAGAACTTATTTACTTCTATATTTCTTTAAGATTTGACTCCTCCCTCCCTTGGGTGATCCTACCAAAGCCTGTTGTGGGGCCCATACTATTGTCCTCAGGTGACAACTCTAGTGCCATCAAGTTCCATCTTCTTTTAAGTGCCAACTCTTGGTTTGCAGTTTTCCCAGTTTTCTAATTAAAAAACAAACAAAAAAAAACAAAAACAAAACAAATATACTGCACCTATCACATTCCATAGCAGGAAGTTGAACTAGATTTGCAATTCCTCCTACACTATGGGCTCTTGAGGGGTCCCGGTTCAATGGCATTAATAATCCTAGTGGCTGGGACACAGCAGCCACTCAATAACTGCTTATTAGATAGAAAAGTCATATCTCTAATTCGGTAACAGAAAGTAAATATTTTGAAGTTTCCCAACAATAATTTAACAAAACTAAATTAAAGTGTCCTCTGCCAAAACTAAATGTGTCCTGTGCCAAAAAAGTAAAACAAACAAGAAGGAACTGAGATGATCTAGTCCAAATAGAATGCTGAGGAATGACACAGTAGCTTTATAAGGAGTTACAAAACAAGTAAGAGACAGCCACCTGTGCATCACCATTATCGCCAGGATGGAGGAAGTAGATGTATTCCCATGCTAAACATCAGCAAACATTCTTTGATAGTGAAGATTATGAAAAAGAAAGCAAGGCCCTAAGGAAAGATGAACTCCATTCCTCAGAGACCTTTGAGAACAGACAGACCCTCCAATGAGTTTGCAGTGAGTTAGGTGGGATTCTAGCCGGAAAAAAAATGGCTGAAACACAAGAGCTCTTGAGGTCATTTTCAGCCTCCTGTCTTTGTGCAAGGAGCCAAGAGTTTCTACCCTGAATTTCTTTTTTTAAAAAACTTAACTTTACTTATTTATTTTACTTTAATTTGACCAGAAAGAGAGAGAGAAAGAGAGAAAGAGAAAGAGAGAAAGCAAGCTGCCAGGGCTGGGACTTGAACCACAGTCAGCCATGTAGGAGTCCAGAGCCCTTAACCACCAGGCCACCTGCCAGTCCCTCTACCCTGAATTTTTGTTATTCCAAGGAAATATAAAGACTAACACTGAAGAAGAGTTGGGGTAAAACGGTTAACAACTTGCCTAAGCAACCACAAATAAAACCAGAAAAATTATTTCTTGGGCGGAGAAAGTCAAACTCCACATGGTTGATCACAGTTCAACTCTTGGCCCTGGTGACCTGAGAAATAAACCAGGTGCATGTACATGACCAAAATCCTGACAGGATGGAGAAATGGAGGAGGAAGGATTATGGTGTGACCACACCTGATGGGAGAGGTGCTTTCTCCCCTTCTCCCACTCTCTGTCTCTCTCTCTTTCTCTCTGGTGAGCTCACACACCTACTAGAAACTTTTAAAAAAGTATTTCTTGATGTGAAATAGGGATTTGTATTACAATGCATTAAAAATAAAGACAAAACCAACCAGCCCATGGAGTGGTGGTTAAGGTGGCTGGATCCATCATGGTCAACTCTGCAGGTGGGAGTCATAGACCCAGACGCTTGAAATACAGGCCAGGCACATGTGTACGCATCCCCAAAATCCATGGGCAGCCTCTTTGGGGAATTCTCTCTCTCTCTCTCTCTCTCTCTCTCTCTCTCTCTCTGTGGTAGATGTACATGCCCTATAGCAATTTTTTTTTTAAAGACAAAAATTTCTGCAATAAGGAACAGTACAAATATGTTTTGAACACTCACTGAAGTCCATGGCATGTTGACAGTGCAACAAATGAGGCAGGGTTTCCTCGGATATGGCCCTGGTAGTAACAGTGCTCTCCGCCCTGCAGACAGAAATAGAAAACATAAGCCTCTGCTATCACAAGGAGAATCAGACAAATCATTTCATAGGTTACTGCCCCCCATACGTAAGCCCTTCAGAGTACTTTATCATTCACATTAGCATTATCAAACCATTTCTAACAGAATTATTCATACACACTCCTAGTGAGCTGACTCCAAATCAAAAGACAAGGAAATAAAAGTTGACTTGACTTTCCTTTTATGTAGATGATGCTAGAGGAACAAAGAAACAGATACTGAAATTATACATGTGGCCTTGCACCCGAATAAGTTTAATCATCTATTTCCCTAGTTGTGAGAGACTCAGCCTTGAGACGCAGCAAAGCAATGCTTTTTCACACAGAACTAAGTACGAATGAATATAAATCATTTGAGTATTAAAAAATGCCCTTGTTTTAGTACTCATATCAAAATTGACGGTCTAATAGATAAATTTATACTATTTTTTCTCAAGGTAAGAATGGTTTTACTGTTAAGCAGTCAATCCTACTTAAAACACTCAGTGTTTGACAAGTGGAGGAGAGACTAGAAAAACATAAAGATGTAGCAAAGCTGACGACGACTTCTTCACCACAGTTCTGAGGAAGAGCCTGGCCTGAGATTGCTGATCCTCATGAGATGATGACACAGGAGCTAGTTACTCTCAGCTTTGGGGAGGAGGTAGAGTACAGGTAAGACAGTACCCGTTGACACCTCCAAATTCCCAGAAGAGTCACTGTGGTTGGATCTGAAGGAAGACAAGATAGAATGGTGCTTCACACCTGGGTCAGTCATAAGTGGAACCTAAAAAGCCATAGAGACTTGGGGGGAATAACCTAGATGGAGACTAGGATGTGGAGCAATAACTTCATGGGAAGAGTTGATGTATCCATTGTTAGGAGTTAACAGCCTGAGCCACTGGTTCCTTCACTTACTGTGTAATCTCAAGGAAGTTATAGAATTTGCTGATGTTGGGATTAGCAGTTAGCATAATGGCTATGTTGCTGGACTCCCATGTAGTTGACCGCAGTTCAAGTCCTGGATTGGGTGACTTAAACTCACGCCAGGCACATGTGTGTGCATGCCCAAGATCCCAAGAGGAGAATGGAGGAGAAGGGATTGCGGTGTGGCCATCCCCCCCGGGGAGGGGTGATTTCTCACTTTCTGTCTCTCTCTCTGTCTTTCTGGCGAGCGCATATGCCCTATAGCAAAAAAATATGTATATATATATGCTCTCAAAAAAAAGACTTGCCGATGGTTCAGATTCCACATCTGTGAAATGAGGGTAAATATGTCATAGTGTTGAGGATCAATTGAGCTATTTTAAATAGCAGGCTTGGAATAATGCTTGGTCCTTGGTAAGCACTCAATAAGCATTTGCTATCATAAATACTCTATGTCAATAATTGTTCTATTAAATGTACATGCACAATCATATTAAATCCTTATGCTGATCCTACAAAGAAATATTGTTATCTATATTCTACATAGGAGGACATAATCTCTGAGAGCTAAGGATATCCACTTGGGAAGTTGTTGATTTGGAAAGCAAACTCTGGATAAACACGAAGTCTGTATCTTTTTTACTACACCACATATAAATGACACCTAGAACTTACAGGTCATGGAATGTAACTCTAAGCTCATCCCTAGACTGATTTACTTTAATTCATTTTCTTAAACATTTCTCTATTATATTGGGGAGAGCTAAGTAGATGATTAAATAACAATAAATAATCTTTCACTATTTTCCGATTTGGAAAAATAGGAGTCAATCCAAAAACAACATATGATCAGAATCTATTTGCCCAAAAGCCTGACACTGCAAATACAGTGAAGAGCTCAATATGGTTGAATCATTATTGAATGTGTCCATGATACTTCAAGAGAAGTATAAACACCAGGGTAAAAATATCCCCTCAAATAGTTACTATAATTTAAATTTTTTGGAGAGATTTTTGCTATAGGTCATATGCACTCACCAGACAGAAAGAGACAGAGAGACAGAAAAGAAGAAATCACCCTCCAAGGGAGATGGTCACACTGCAATCCCTTCTCCAGTCTCCTCTCAGGATTTTGGCTACACATGACATGTGCCTGGCGTGAGTTTAAGACACCAAGTCTAGGACTTGAACCGCAGTGATTACATGGGAATACAGTGAAGTAACCATTATGCCATCTGCTGATCCCTGTCATTCAACTTTTCAGGCTCTCAATGGGTGGTAATATGTCATTCTTCTAAATAATGGTGGAAATTCATTTTTGTGTTATAGTATTTTCAGAAATTATTGATCATAAATCAATAATTACTTAAACTAAAAAGTAATTAAGGGTTCTTTTTCCCTTTAACATGCTTGGAAATATTTTTTTAGCCCAGGAGAGTCATTTAAATGTTAAAGGGGTTCCTTAGTTTATATCGGGTTGTCGGAAAAGTCATGATGTATTTTTCTGTTTTTCTACGCAAAAATACATCATAACTTTTCCAACAACCCAATATAATTCTGTAATTAAAATAAGTAAATAAAATTTAATAAATTTTGAGTTTTAAATAATTATTTTTGCCTATTATTTTAAAATAACACACACTTGTGCAAAAATTCTAAGTATTCAGAGCATGCACAACAGTAAAAATTCTCTCTCCAGGGACCAGCAGATGGCATAATGGTTACATTGCTGGACTCCTATGTCGTCGACCACAGTTCAAGTCCTGGACCTAGCCACTTAAAACTCATGCTGGGTGTATGTGCCTGTGTGCCCAAGAACCCAAGAGGAGAATGGAGAAGAAGGGAATGCAGTGTGGCCTAACTCCCCAGGGGGTTCTCGCTTTCTGTCTCTGTCTCTCCAGCAAGCATATGTGCCCCATAACAAAAGTCTTCTTAAAAAAAAAAAAAAAAGCTCTCAAACGAACTGTTCAAGCAGCAGTTATCTTTTTTTTTTTTTTAAGAGTACACCTGTTTGTTAAAAAGGAAAAAAATGTACATCTTTGTTCTTCATTTGCTTTAAGAAATTTGATCAAGTTGCGAGGAAACGTCTCAGCATGGTTACGTACACCAGGGCAGGTTGTCGGGCAGTGAAGGCGGCAGGGCTGCGCGGCTCCCCGCGGGTGTTCTGGCCCTGGGCACTGCGAGTCACAGTCACTGCCAGGCAGGCTTGGCCTGTGGCAATGTTCCCAGTGCTCCGTCCTAAGGTGCCCCTTTCTCCTGCCGCACCTGTCCCGAGAGCCCACCAGCCCCGCGTCCTGAGCTCAGGCCTGGCCTCCCTCAGCGGCAGGACGGGTTCCAGGCCACCTGGCCCAGGAAGGCTGGTGCTGAGTAACATCAACAGACAGGCTGGAGCCAGTGTCACTGCTGCCCTGACTTCTCCTTCTGGAAGCTGAAGCTCGTACGTCTGTTCAGTTTTCTTTGTTTTTGAGCAAAGTACTCAGCCCGGGCAGTGCTGGCTCCTGATTCCAGAATGTAGTTAACCTTGAGCACAATCTTGTTGACGTTGACGGTAGCAGCGTCAGATTCCAAGTAGAGGTGTTTGTAGTGGTGATTGCTTAGATACGTGAGTTTGAATATTGCGTGACTGGGGCTTTTTTCTTCAGCAAGGTCACAGGCACAGAGCAGGTCAGAATCGATTGAGATGGGTTTCTGCTTAATCCAAAACTTAGTGCTGGCTTTCTGATTCATAACAGGATCTATCTCTACTTTGTCTCCAGAGATACCCAACTGCTCAGCGGTGGTAAAGCACAGCCGGTGGATCATGCTGACTTTGAAGGAGCTGTAATGGTGGCTGCTGAGCATATCCTGGACCGTTACTATGTCAATTTGCGAATCTTCCTCAAAACCCCCGTCTGCCCTTGAACCTGAAATTTTCTGAGATCCTTTTCTTCGCTTCACTGCCTTTAGCAAGATTTCTTTCATGGTGACCTTTGTGTTGTCCACCTGAATAAGGGAGAATCCGTAAGCAGCATTTATTCGAACAAAGAGAGACTCTTTGGATGTCAGACCAGGAGATGAATCCTTTTCAACCAGGGCCAAAGTACTGAAGCCAAACTTATGAATGGGTTCATTGGAATCCAGCGGGGGGAAATCCGTGTCCACCTCCCCATCACCCTCAGCAATATGCAGGCAGTAGGCACTGACGTTGTCATTGAGCTTCGGCTCCCATCCTTCACTTGTGTACTGCCAACAGATGAGTCCAATTAGGTCCTGCACCCTGGTGCTGGCCATTGTCACCACGGTTATTGGCAGCAGTCTGTCCTGGCTGGGGTACAATGGGAGGTAGACATCAATCTTCTTGGTTGATTTTATACCCACATGACCCTTGCCATCAAATTTGGAATATTCATTAAAGAGGTTACTCAGCTGCAGGGGACACTGCTCCAGGCGCACAGATAATATTGACTGCTTTCCAGAACTCGGAGGCTTCTCTTTAAGGGATTTTTTTCAAACAGTGACTTTAACTCCTGGGTGGATTGCTTAGAATTTCTTTCCACTGAATATTTTTGCATTTGATCTGGTTTTGTCCCTCTTTTCAGAGTCGTTCTAATTTTTGAGCTGTGTTTGAGCGTCTTCTAATACCAAAGTCCCAACTTGAGGTAATATCGACTGACTGGGCATATACATAGCCCTGAGTCTCACCACTGCTTCCCTGAATTTCTTTTTTTTTTTTGGAGAGATTTTTGCTATAGGGTGCGTGTGCTCGCCAGACAGACAGAGAGAGACATAGAGACAGAAAGCGAGAAATCACCCCCCAGGGCGGATGGTCACGCCGCAATCCCTTCTCCTCCTCTCGGGATCTCGGGCACACACGCACACACACCTGGTGTGAGTTTCAAGCTGTTGGGTCCAAGACTCAAACCGTGGTTGACTACATGGGAGTCCAGCCATCTGCTGGTCCCGATCGACGGTATTTTAAAGACTGGTCGCTGAATTTCTGACCCACTGTCTCCGGGCATTGAAGGAGGATGAATCTTCTCTAGGTCAACATCATGATCAATGTGAACCATCTCACACAT